GTTTGGATTGGAGGTTGGGAGAGGACCCCTTCTTGGCTTGGAATTCCTCCCAAGGAAGAGACTGTTGGTTTGGTGGCCTGGGATTCTTCAGCCCAGCCAAGTCCCTGTCAGGGGATGCTTTCGCAGCTAACTAGATTGCCCATCTCCACCCCTGCCTCCAAACTCTCCAAAGAGTCCCATTTCCTGCTCCTGTAACTAGGAAAACTATCCTTTCATTTCTAAAGAAAATGAAGTCTTATTTGGTGATGGTAACATTGGGGTATTGGTGAGTCAAAGAGCAATTAGTAGCGAGTCTGCTAAATTTTTTATGAAAAAAATGGAAGGTGGAATAGAAGAAAGAAAAGGGAGACCCCGGGGGTGTAAAGCGGAGTTCACCGGGCAGTGAACCCGCTGGGCGACCACGCAACCTCCGACCCCCTCCCCGCCCCCCGCCCTATTGTCCTGGATCCAAGCCGGGGTCGTGACCCAGCTGAAGGCGACACCGAGCTGAGGCGGACACGGCTTGGAACCCGGAGGAGGAGCTGGGCTGCCGCTGGCCTCTTGCATTTCATCTTTGCCAGGGCTGGTCCCCTTTCCCGATCCTGAAGATCCCCGTGGTTGGGACCCCCCCTCAATTCCCCCCTCCCCAGTGAAGGCAAGCTGCTTTGTGCCACATCCTCTTGAACCCGGTTTCCGGGAAGCCAGAGGCCAGAGAGGAAACTTACGGTTGAACTATTTGGCAGTGCCGCCCTACACACTTCATTTTAGGGTTTCTCCGTTCAGAAGTTCAAATACACTTTGCTCTCACAACCTCTGATGCTGGGAAGGGAGGGTCAAAAAGGAGGAATGAGTAGAGGTGACACTTCTTTGGGTTTGATCCATACCCCACCAAAGCTAGCAAAGCAGACCCCAGAGGACCCTACTCTTCTGGAACCTAGCAATTGCTGATGGGGACTGAAAATTTAAAATCATCCCTTCCCATGATTAAGCTCTGCAACCCTATTCACCCTCAAACACACTCCAAGACCCTACCCACCCATCCTTGTTATCCGGCCTCCTGATTTATCGGCTAGCTGGGCCTGCAGGCATGGGCAGCAGGAGGGTGGAGCTGCAGAGGCCCTCACCCTGCTCGCGTGCATGTGGGCTCCGCTTGGGGATGCACCCCGTGTTCAAAGAAGCTACAGAGCTGACACCAGAGAGAAGAGCAGAAAAATCCCAAGGAATGGAGGAAAAGAGCCAGTTCTGGAAAGGGGCCCCTGGATCTGTAGGGCAGAGAGCAAACCTTTGTTTCTTTTCTGCTCCCCAAATTCAAAAGAGATCTGAGCTCCTCAGGTTGCACAGGTTTTAAGGTGGCTGAGGGACCCCTTCAGGTCTCTGATTCAAACAATGCACCCCACCATTTTTTATTCTCAAGAGGCAGTTAAAACTCAGTACCCGCTGCAGGAGAAAAATTAAAATGAGGCCAGTGATCTGGGGTGCAAGCAAAAGCAGGCCGAGGGGGGTGATCAGTTCTAGTAGAAATATTGGTGCAAGGCAAAGACTTCCTTTTCTACCAAATGCCCCAAATGTTTATTTTGGGCTCCTGCCCATCCAGATAAATCAAGCTAACAGATTAGGAAGTTCATAAAATTGTATTGTTAGGTAATGATATCCAGAGAGGTAATAAATATTCTCTCTGCTCTGATGGCCACTGGAGTTAGGGGATCCTCTATCTCTTTTTCCAAGCTTCAGAACAGTTTCTTAAAAGGGGAACATTTCGATTAGAATTCGCTCTCCAGAGGTGGGGTGCCAGATAGAAGCTGTGGAAACCAAGAGAAGTGGTTTTGCAAGGCATGCTCTCCCAGGATTGGGCAAAAGGCAGAGAAAAGGATGGTGAGATGCCCCAGCCCGCTGCTCCTCCTGGTTACAGTGCCCTCAGCCTCAGGGACTTCCTTGCTGGTCACTATCCTGTAATCTTAGAAAAGCAGACGAACCGTGCCTAGGAGGGGCCACCCTGGCCCCAAGCTCTGGAGAACCACTTAATCGTTTTATGTTCCTCGCCATCTCCCCAAATACACACACACTGTGGACTGTAATCCACAAAGTCCACGCCTGAGAAAAGCAGATGCACAGAGTGCGGGGAAAACTTTGTAGGAAACTTCATACAACCAGCGGTGAGAGGCTCTCAGAAACAAAGTTCCCCGGTCCTTTCTCCCAGGCTCACTTTCCCCGCCGTCTCCCCTTTTTGAGCCAAGTTTCTCCACTCCTCAAATACACCGCGTAGGAGCTCCATTTTCTCCAAGCAGAAACCCTCCGTTCAGGATTGGATTTCCCACCTTCCCTCCCCAAGACTGGAGTTGTGATAAAAATTGAATGGCAAATAGAGATAGAGTTGAAACTGCGGGGCTTCTCACCCCCAGAGCAGATCGAGTGCTAACTACTTACATGTCAAGGGAATTTTTGACTTGTGGGGATCTCCTGGCGCTTGGAGAGAAAGACCTTGGAAGATTGGTGCCGACGTGGTTTCACCCGTCTTCTTTTTACTTGGCGGTTAGAGAGAAAGATACAACGCGCTAGCAGGCATTCATGCGCCTCTCTTCTCCCATTACTCTGGGCAAGAAATCGCCAGCCCCACGAAAGCAGTGGCATCCTATCTGAGACCAGGGGTTGAGCCAGGGCTGGCTTGGGAGGGTCCGAGATGGGGGTGGGGAGAGGTCAGAGGCGCTGCTGCCGAATATAAAGGCATTGGGAGAGAAAAAGCTGTGTCCTCCCCGTGAACCTGGGCTGCGTCCTCCCCGCGCAACGCCCCCCCCCCCAGCCTTTTCCCCACTGCTCAACCCAACTTCAATAAAAGCCCCAGCCCTGGGCTTCCCAGTGAGGCTGTAGCAGTACTGGTGGAGCAGCAGCAGCAGGGGACCAAGTCTGCCAGAACTAAGGGCCCTGGTCCAGGTTGGCCCCCCACACCCTTCTCCCCAGCCCTCCCCAACAGCCTGATCCCATTCCGGGTGGTAAGGTCCAAGGCAAAGGAGAACTTTGAGGAAAAGGAGAGAATGAAGCCCACTGGAGGGAAGGCCAGAGGTGGAAATCTTCAACTCAAGTGTAAAGGGGTTTAGTTTTATTTTATTGGTCAAGAATTATGGATTTCTGATGTTTCACACCAACAGGGATAGAGATACAGGGAGGAGACACATGATTATGTGTACACGTGTGAGAGGAGGAAAGAGAAACCAGAGCCCCAAAAGAGAGGAAATAGAAGAACCGTCCCAATCCTTTAAAGCTGCTTTCCCTTCGGCATGGTCAGGGAGAAGCTTAAGAAATAAAACAGTGATTTTTCGCCTCTTTGCTTTCATCTCTTCCACTTTCAGGAGGATATGGAATAAATTCCCATGAAACCAAAGGAGCAAAGTTAGGAATGGACTATGGATCTTAATTTTATTTTTTCATCCATCTCTTTCCATATTAGCTTCCTTACGGGCTTGGAAAGACACCCAAGTCCACCCCTTAGACCTTCCTTCCCTTTTCCCGAACACAGCTAGACCCTCTCTTCCTGCCCCAAAGTCAACTGCCTCAAAATGACAGCAGCTACAGTCAGATTTGCCCCCTAATTCACTTGATTACATAAAATAACTCTAGATAATTGTTGGCCCTGCTTCCTCACACTGTAGGCAGCATGTCTTGCTGTCTCCAGGGTACCATTGGGGGAGGAGAAAGTAGACCTACAGGACCAAGTGATTCTCCTCAACACACACACACACACACACACACACACACACACACACTCTCTCTCTCTCTCTACCAAGAACCAACCAGCAAGTGGTACAAGAGGAAATAAATCTAGATCATACCAAACTGACTTGCACAACTTGGTCCCCTTGTTGCCTTTCACTCCAGAATTTGGGGAGACAGGAAAGGAGTATCCTTGGCTCCCCTATATACCCCAGATCTCTTCTCCTTCTGTCTTCTACTTTCAATAGATCTCCATCCTAAATTTTGGATAAATTGCCTGAGAAGCTCACCAACTGCCTCTCCCACCTTCTCCCAACAAACAAGCAAAAATTTGAGCAAGTCTTGCTTAGAGCTTACTTAGAGCTTGGTCCTCAGAATCAGAATTATTTGGGAACCTTTGGCTTAAATGAATTGCTCAGGTAATCCAGAACAGTTTTGTTTTTTTCTTTCTTTCTTTTTTTGCTCCAAGGAAATAATTTTAAAACAAAAAGTTTACAGCCAGAGAGCCTTATTTCAGCCTTCCCACAGCCTTGCCGGGACCTAGGAGGTTGCAGGAAAAGGGGTGGTCCCTGCCTCTCCCTGTATCTTTTCTCAACACCTGGCAGGTCCATGTAAAAGTTAGGGGGGGAAATAGAAGTTCTTTATTATCTCCAGCCATCAGGCTTTGAGGCCTATCAATGCAAGGGGGCCTCCCAGGCCTCTGGCCTCTACTTCACCCTTCTTTCCAAGTCTAAACAAACAGAAAAGCCATCCTGACAGGTCACTCTGCTGCTTCAGAATCGCAAGCTCAAATCTTTCTTCTTTTAAGGAGAACATGTATTGAGGGGGCATCTTTCTTAATTCCTCATCCCCAAAGAGCCCTAAAAGATGAAAACTCTTCTCTCTCCTACTATCTAAACTTGCCTTCTTGTCTGCAAATTAAGCAGGCCTACTCTATAGAGAGAAGGGAGAAAGTAGGAGAGGGGAATAGAAAGAAGAAAGAACTGTGCCTAACTATAGAAAAGTAAGACCCCCCCACCAGCTCCACGGTAAGTACCCCCAGGAGAATCTGGCCTCTTTGCAGACTCAGAGAGAAGGGCCAGAAGAAATCAGCCCTAATCTTCCACGTTCCCTCTTGTGAGCAACCCCTGTCCCAACCCCTTTACTGGTTCTTCTAGGGATATTGGAAAGCTATAGTTGAGAGTTAAGATTTGTGTGTTTGCTTAGAGTAAACTTAGGCAACTATAGAGAAGGTGGGATGTTACCAGGCCAGTAAGAGGATGGGGATAAAAAAGAAACCATCAGACATTGACGTAAAACTAATTCACATCCACTGGTTTATTATTGATCACGGGGCATTTCACATCGACACTAAAATTCTTTATTGCAAGTTTTACAATAATCAAGTAAATTCAGTCCAAAAACACAATAACCATGGTGGAGGGTGGGGGGAGGGATTCTACCTATAGACTGCCTCTCTGAACTGAAAGTTCATTTTTATTTTCTTTTGGCTCCTCAAACTGAACAGCTCTGAGAGGCTCTCCAGATGCGTTTAGCCTTGTCTGCTGTCTTCCCCCATCTCCTCCCAGCCTCCCCCACAACAATAATACAAAAGAACTTCATAGCTTTGTTCTCCTTAAAATGACTTCCCTCTCACTAACCTCCCCTGGTGCATTTTCAATGCAAAAGGCCTAAGGAAAGAGGAGGGGATAGGGGGAGGAGGAGAAGGAGGAGAATTGGCTTAAAAATCTCTTTCTTTTTTTCTTTTTCTCATTCCCCCTGAAATCCACCAAACCAGACCATCACACCTTGCAATATATAATTTTTGCAGTTTTTTTCTTAAAAAATAAATAACCCCCCAAAATGGCCTTTAAAAAAAACCCCAGCAGGTACCATGCTAAGACAACATCACATGCTTACAAGGGTCCTTAGTAGCAAGAGGAAGAGAAGGGCAGGGGGCTCGTTTGTTTATCTGTTTTGTCTGTTTGGAATTGACAAGGGATAACGTGGGAAGAAGAGAGAAAAGAACCAAAATATATATATATTAAATTCTATAAATAAGAGTCAATTTGTATGTGAGGGGAGGATGGGGGCACGGGATGGGGGCAGGGTGCGAGTTATGTTTTATAACCTGGTAATGTCCTCTGCCCGCTGCTGCTCCTGCGGCGTGGCGCTCTGGGAGTGGTCTTCAGAAGTGCCCGGGGTGGCTGCCGAGAGGGTGCTGGGCGCAGCGCCGGCCGGGGGCGCTGACCTGACTTTGGTGTTGGGGAGTCGGTGGTCCTTCTTCCATTTCATGCGGCGGTTCTGGAACCAGATTTTGATCTGCCTCTCAGAGAGGCACAGCGAGTGGGCGATCTCGATCCTTCTCCTTCGGGTCAGGTAGCGATTGTAATGAAACTCTTTCTCTAATTCCAGGACTTGCTGCCGGGTGTAGGCTGTCCTCGAGCGCTTGGGTTCCCCTCCGTTATAATTGGGGTTCACTGGGGGGGTTGGGAGGGGAAAAGCAAATAGTGGGGTTCAGAGGCAGCAGGCTCCCCTCCCCCCACCCTCACCCCAACCTCAGCTCTGTGAAACAGGAGGAGGGGGTGGTGGAAATAAAGTCATCAAGCTAAATGGGTTATAAAGAAGTTGAAGGAAGCTGGAGACTTTGTAGTGTAATAAGAGGGGAATCCTCATTGTAACGACACTGAATTATTTATGCGCCCTTAGAAAGCGAGCATAGTTTTCACACATACATAACAGATCGTAGCACATGGCTCGGACTGCCCAGAGTAGCTAAGCCATAAAATTTATGGGGGATGTAATTACCCATTCTCGCTCGTAAATCCAGTTCAATTGTGCTAACCCAGAGTCGCTCCTGGAGAGAGAGGGGGAAGGAGAGAAAGGAGGACGGGGGCCAGAGGGGGCCAGGGAGGGTGGGGAACGCTGGGGAAGAGGGGAGGGAGGGGGAGAGCAAAAAGCAAAGTTGCCTACCCGTGCTAACGTGGATTTTTTTCATCCATGGGTACACTATGGGTTGCTTGCTGGCGGCGCTGGAGGGATGGTCAGGGGCTGGCTGGCTGCAGGCTGGCGGGGCTGGGGACGGGGAGGCGGAGGCGCCTGAGAGAGGCGCCGGCTCGCAGAGCGGCTGTGATTTCTCAGGGTGGTGGTGGCCCGCCTGGGCCGGCCCGTGGGCTCGAGAATTGCCTGGCCCCTGGAGACTGGTGCAGCTATACTGGCGCTCAGGGTAGCTAGGACGCGGAGGCGGTGGTGGGTACAGCTCCTGGTGGTGATGCTGGAATCCCGATTCCCTGGTCCGGCCGTAATATTCCGGACTGTGTTCAGGGATGTAGCTATTTTGCGAATATTCTTCGCATGGAGGAAATTTCGGATCGATGTAGTTAGAGTCCATCAAATACGAGCTCATGATCATTAATTTCTGGAGTGGAAAATAATTTTTCTCGCTTTGTCGTTTTTCTGCTCCATAAAGCCCTCCTACTAGCTAGCGACCCTGTAAAGTTACTTTCACCATGTGACTCTGCCGGCCAATCACACGGAGCAACCCAGTCCCCGGATAAGGAACCGAATCGCTTTATTCAAAATGTATCCAATTTTTTTTGTGTGTGTGTGGTGGTGGTGGTGGTGGTGGTGATGTGGGGTTAGCTGTCAGGGGCTAGGGTGCCCCAGTGCACACCCCACAGACTGACAGCCTTGCCCTGTAAAAGAAGATGGTAAGCCCCCAAATCCCCTCGAAAGCCTGGGCATGGAGGGGCTATCGAGAGGCTGTGATTCAGCCTTCTTGCAGAGTCTCCCCTTGGGCCTCCAATGGGCCCCTTGGGCCTCAGCTCCTTAGCTTCTCCGAAGGTCTCCATTCATGGCGATCCTGTCTCAGTCTGGGTAGGTCACCGGGCAGCGCCCCTCTTTCTCAGGAAGAGGAAGTTGAATGAGGACTGGAGTGGAGGTTGGATGGGGAGGGGCCCAGGCGAAGCCCAGGAGGCTGAAGAGCCTGGAGTGCCCCCCATTCAACGATGCCAGAGTCCGGCCCCCTTCCCCATACACACTCACCCAACCCTCTGGCCATGGGGCCGCCAGGCAGGGTCCCAGCTGGACCAGGCAGGTAGAGGCAGCGGGATGCAAATGATTCTGACGTCATTTCTGGAGGTCTAGGGGTTGAGCCCCCGCTGAAGAGAGACAGGAAGTGGTTGGCAAAAGCAGAGTTCAGAAGCCTCGCCCTCCCCTGAACCCTCCCTGCCCCATTCCAGGAACAGAAGATCTCTTCTATTGCTGGTTGCTTTTTCCACTCTCGTTCTGTCTGGCCTGCTGCTTTCTGACAACTACCTCCAAGGCTGCTTCCTGAGGAGCTGGGGCAAGGAGGGGAGCGATCTGCCAGGAGTCAGTGCCCTGCCATGGTGTCCAGCCGAGGCCTTGGGAGCTCTTCCTTCTCCATTCCCACAGAGGGCAGACCTAGCTAAGAGGGAGGCCTGTGTTGGTAGAGCCTGCTTCAGGCCAGGAATTGTATCCATGTAACACATGTATTTACATGTAAACACATATTCCCAAGGGCCAGCTCCAGGCTGCCTTCCAAAAGCTGAGGGGTGAGCTCACCAAGCTGAGGAGGCTGGGCACACCTCAGAGGGGGGGTGTCTCTGGTCCATTCCTGCCCCCTTCCCTCTCTCTGCCACCCACCCACAAGAATATCTTGGTGGTAGGGTGTCAAGACCATGGAGGGGGGAGAGGGCAAGAAGGACTGTTTTTCACCCCCCCTCAGATAGGGGTGGCCTCGTCATGCCACCATTTCCAAGTAACTGATCCCGTAACTCCGAGCTGGGGGGTGCGGGTTGCAGAAGGGAGAGCCCAGGGAGGGAGCCCGGTCCCCTTGTTGTACTTGATAACAATTATAGTTTAAAATCATAGCTTGCCGGGGCTCGGCTATATTTTACTTGATAACAATAAAAGTGACACATAAAGTTAACTGTTTATGTTTTATTTATTAGACTAAATCTGCCAGCGGTGGTAGGAGCGCTTGCCTCGTCGCTCCAGCTTTTATAGGGCTGTAAAACGTCATAAATCAGTCTCGCGGAATCGCCCGCGCTCTTTGTGTCGGCGGCGGCGCAGGGCTGGCGGCCGCTGGCTGCCTGCTCCCTCCTTTCCACGAAAAGTCGTAATGTGATTTTTTTCCCCTCTGATTTTATTATTATGATCGCCGCCGTGATTAGTCAATCTACCTTTAATTCGCCGCCCTACACTGCCTCCTCCCAGCCCAGCCTGGTTGACACTTGAATAAGTACCTTTTAAAACGGCATAACAACTATTTGAGGGTTTAATTAGAACATCTGCAATTAAGGGAATGAGGAGGGGAAAGAGAAAAAATAAAGCCCTTGTGAGAGGGAGACTGAAGGCAGGAGATTCTCAACCAGTCTCTCACCACCTTTGGGTTTCAAGAGAGAGGGTCCCCACCTCCAATTAAGAGCTCACCCTGAGGGCAGGAATGGGAGAGATGCTGGGTCACAGCTGATGCCCCAAGGGGCTGATTCTCTGCCTGGGCCACTGCCTGCCTTCTCTCTTCCCATGCTCAGGTCCCCCCGCCCTTACCCCTGGTACCGGGGAGTGGTCCATGGATGCTGTCTCCCCAAGAGGACAGTGCCTTGCCCCCTGCCATCGGGCAGGTGAGGGCACAGGAACTCCCAGAAGGTGTCCTGTCTCTTGGAGGAGATTCCCAAATTCCCACAGTTAGTTGAGAACCCCTGCTCACTCCTGTCCTGGACCCTCTTCCTGTGAGGATGGCTGATTTGGCTGGACAAGGAACTTGAGACATTGAGGAGGGAGAGGCTGCTGCTTGGTTGATAGTGGTTTGGAGTGTGAGGGTTTCATTTTTTGTCATTATTGGTGGTGGGGTGAGGGCAGGAAGAGGGTATAAAGGGAAACCAGCACTGAATACTGACCTACATAAAAAGTCTGAACCGCTGCCCCAGACTGCCCCAAGAGCGAGAGCCAGAGCTCTGGGAATCTCAGGTCGGGCAGGGGTGGGGTAGGCTGGCTGAAGGAAGAGAAAACTTTCCAGCCCCACCCCCACCCTCCCTTCCAGACCAGCGGCTGGATCAGGCTGCCCTACCCCATCAGGCTTCCTGTCTATCGGGCTGGCCCAGATAGTCTTTTCCCCACCTGAGGAGGTGAGATCTTGGCCTGGGTACCCTCCTCCCAGCCCTCACACTCACCTTCCACCTGCCCTGCCTCCAGCTCAATGCCCATTTCTTCAATCTCTTCACACCCTTGGACTTGTTAAGGAGTTCTTCCCAGGGCATCGCCCATCCTACACGCTTGCTGCCCAGGATTCTGAGCTCCTGCAGGTGGCTCGAGGAAACTTACTTCAGGCCAGTATGTGGAAGTAGATACAGAGAGTTCAGGTCCCTCCAACTAAATGACAAGTCTGTCTTTGGTTATTACAGCTAACAAATATATATGCATACATACTGTTAATATTTATTAATATATTAAATGCCTCCTTTTGCAGCCACAAATATGTAGGGTTCTCCGTCCATTTTTGTACAGCTAATTCAACATGCACATCCATACAGTGAAATCTAGGAGATTCCCCCAAATATGTCCATGCTCATCTACATCATTTACTAAACAAACAAACAAACAAACAAACAAACCTCTCTTTGGGCTCCTATAGCTTAACAGCAAGGAAGTCACCTATCACATGGGGAAAATAACAAGCCAGACTGCACCACATGCATATACACAAACATTTTCACTTACTACCAAAACAGAAATCAAACCCTTCCTGAAGGCTCCTGTGCTTAGCATTGGCTTCACAGGGAGGGGGGCACTAACGCGGCTCTGTGATGAAGCCTCCTGTCTGGTCCTGCCTCCTTTTGTGCTTTGCCCTCCTGCCTTGCCAACCCAGGGATCTCTCCATACCATCTCTGCCCTCCATCCCTCTCTGTCCCGATTTTATTTTTTTATTTTTTTTCTGACCGCTTTTTGCCAGCAACCAAACACTCTCCAAATGCCCCTGACCCCAGACCCCATCTCCTTTCTAAATCTCGAATCGGTTTCTCTTTCGGAAACATGTTTCAGTACAAAGCGCTTCCCTTCTGACACCGCTGAAGAAAAATATGTGTCCATTGTGTTCGAGGCCTTATTGTGCCGGGATTACCATACTGACCGTTGGATAACCCATATTCCTCCCCTCCCCAGTAACAAGCTGCCGGCTGAGAGACCTTAGCGGCTCCTCAGATTCTGTGCTGCATTAAAATCCATCTCTCAGACTCTGAATTTTCCTAGGGAGAAAAATCAGTGGGAGAACCGACACAGGATTTGGAAGGCAAAGAGAAGGAAAATGAGAGTCATTCCTTTCCCTGTTCTCAGAAGTGCAGTTTTTTTTGTTTTTTGGTGGTTTTTTTTAAATTTTTGGTGTATGTATGTGGTTTTTGTTATTTTAGAGATTAAAAATTACAACATGTCTCCTTCCTCTTCCTGAAATGAATTGACTTTTGGATGGTATGCAATCAAATAATTCATTTCAGTTTTTCTCCAAGCAACTTGAAAACTCCAAACTAAAGCAAGACCCTTATCCCATTTTTCCTCTGTGTGTGTGTGTGTGTGTGTGTGTGTGTGTGTTGTTCCTTTCTAATGCCAGCAGGCCGGGTTAATGTATGCAAAAGAATATGCAAATGCTTAATTGATTTTTTCTTAAATCTCTTGTCAGTAAAAGTAATGAATTGGTCTAAAATGATTTTAATAATCGGGACGTGTCACCAGAAAACACTCAACCTTTTTTTTCCCTCCTGGAATCGCTTATAGTCTCAAGAAAAAAAGCAATCATGGAATGTTAATTTGCCCCCCTTTAAAATATTAAAGATAAATTTCCCTTGTTTGTTCGAAGGCCATAGGCAGGGTCTTCTCCTGGATCCCCCCCGCCTCGCCTTGCTTTCCTTGGAATTCAATTTTCCTCAAATCTCGTTTAAAGTGGCTTTTTAAAAAGTGGCCGCATTTTAATATTGGTTAGACAGAGTGACCTGCATTTCACCTCGGGTGTTTGACTTGTTCCAATAGGTCACTGCCATGGGGTTATTGATGGGGAAACTCCATTGAAATTTGTCTCTTCGCAAATGGCCTTTAGATCTTCCAGCGAGTTCAATAACTAGTTATAATGTGGAAGGGGAAAAATGAAGGCCCTGGGCTAACGAATTTGATGTTTCATTTTTATGCTGGAGAGATTGTTAGTTAGAGGTTGGGTTCCCCACCCCCTTCCTTGCTCATCCTGGCCTCACTGACCCCACTCCTGTCCAAGGCTCCTGTCCAAGTTTCACCCCTATAAAACCTGGGCTGGAGTGTCCCTTCCTCCCTTTGATGCAAGACTTAATTCTTATTATGAATATGGTTGTTGTTCAAAATTCTGACTTAAGGGTGCAGGAAGCTTGCGCTACTGGAGATGGTACCTGAACTTTCCTGTTGAGGGAATAAGAATTTTTACTTTTAAAGGAGCCTAAATGAAGTTTTGAAAGATTCAAGAGTTAGGCTGCTGGCTTTAGGGTGGTTTATGGAGGGCTCCCCAGCCTGGTGCTCTCAGAATTAAGGTGCCGAAAAGAAGCTGCAATCCCCTTGGGGAGGGTGTTGATGAGGGCATCTGCCCTCATCTGCTCTTGGCCTCTGAGCTGCCAGAGACCCAGGGGATCAGGCACCCAGTACCAAAGTAGGCAGAGACCAAGGAAAGTTTAGGATGGAGGGAGAATTCCATGGAGCAGGCAAGGGAATCCTGGGTTCTCCTCCAGGGTCAAAGACAGGATTCATGGGGACTTGGTCTGGTAACTGCCTGCTGAACTTCATAAGAAGAGTGCCCTGCAAAAGCCCCATGCCCAAAGACAGTACGTTTTAATGAATTGGAGAAAGCAGAGGAAATTGTTGGGTGTGGGGCCATAGAGATTTTATAAAGTTCTCTTTTTGCTGGAGTTCTCAAGGAGTGGGAGAGGAAAGGGCAGAGGAAGAGAAGACTGTCTTTATTTTATTCTCCCCAATCACAGCCAAATTGGGGAAATCTTTGACTTCTCCATTGAAGCCTCTGTGAGAAAAGATTGGGTAGAGATGGTCTCTCAAGGCTGACCCAGTCATTCCAGATCATTACCATTATTAACCTCAGTAATGATAAGAATATCGTTACCTCACAAAACAGCTGCCTATGTGCCTTATTTTCTTCTTCCAGGAACTGTTCCTTTTCTTTCCCTGCCCAAAGGGGTCCAGTTTGCTCAGCCCCAAGTTTTCCTTTTAATATAAAGCCCACCCACCTCCTTTCCCCCTTCCAAGCCTGGGACCATAGGTAGGAGTCTTTCTAAAGGAGAACCTGGGTTTCTGGGCTGGAAGAATCAAGGCCGAGGCCAACATGTAAGTGTCCCAAACCAGGGTGCCACCTCAGACCCAGAGGCAGTGTCTCGGTGCCACCTGCGCTCTCTCACAAAACTTTCC